AGAGGGATCGTGTCACACCCCCTGGATCACAGAGGGATCGTGTCACAGCCCCCTGGATCTCAGAGGGACCTTATCACACCCCCCTGGATCTCAGAGGGACCTTATCACATCCCCCCGGATCACAGAGGGATCGTGTCACACCCCCTGGATCTCAGAGAGATCACTGCTGCTGTGCCCAGAGAAAGCCCTTCCTCTGATATCAGCCTTTGACAACATCTCTTTGTTTTCCCATCCATCCGGGAGTGCTCTGGCTCTGCCCAGGAAGCACTGGCAGCACTCCATGAGTATGTGCAGAGGAGGAGAAGGAGCCCAAGAGCTTCACCCCGTGCTCACCTGGTGACTGTCAGGTCCCCATGTCCCTCACTCCTTCCTGCCCAAGGACCTGCCACCACACACAGGGACTCCAGGTCCCCCCTCCCCGTCATCCCGTTGCAGTTTGCAAAGGAGGAGAGGAGATTTTAGGGTATTTAGCTCTGAAATCAAACAAATAATTGCACAGGCCTTTTGCAAACAGATAAGGGGCAGGAGGTCAGAGAGCAGCTGGTAAATCTCAGCACTGTTTGCTCTGCCTAAATAATATTAGACCAAGGATAATCAATCATTTTAATCAAGAAAATTATTTATAGCTGTTTAGAGCAAATAGTGAACTCTGCCAGCAGCTGCCAAGAGATGGCAGGTAATGATCCACACACCTCCAATGCCCCTGCACTGTGGATTGATTCTTTGCATCACTGGATTTACTCCCCTGAAGAGCCGCAAGTGCCTTGACCCTCTCTGAGGGTGTCCCTCCTCCCTCCCCAGGGCTCACAAATATCACCCCACAGCCCCTCTGCAGCTGAAATCAAACTCAAAGGGGCTCACAATAATCCCTGCACACTCCCAGCACCTTCCCTACACAAGCTGCTCCCAGCACAGCATCATCCTCCAGGGGAGAGGGAGAACCAGCTGAGCAGGAGAGGGAAAAGATGCTCAAAGCCCGGGAGCCACTGCTGCTGTTTGCTGCCTGAGCCAGCCCCCTGTCCTGGGCTCTACTGATGCCACCAAATGCCAGCTCCATGGGCACCACCCATGTCCCATACCCCCATCCTCACATCCCCAGCCCCAGTCCCAGGACAGGCCCTGCACAGCAGCTCATGATCCCAGCAGCCAATACAGGAGGCTTTTCCTGGCTGGGCTGGAAGCTGTGCAAGCCCAGGGATTGCTGCAGAGGGGAGAACCAGGGTCAGCCTCACATTTGGGACCAGAAGGGGATGGGACAAGGCCATCCCTGGGTCCTGCCTGCCAGTTCATCTCCCTGTCCCCTGTCCCAGCTGCTCAGCTCCCCCAGGGATGGAGCCAGAGAGGGGCCTGTGAGAAACCTGGGAACCAAAGCTCTCCAGCCCAGGGAAGCGAGTCTTTCAGGAACACCAGGGCCAAACCAACCTCATCCCACAACTTCCCAGGAAAAATGCTCCTGGTATGATTAATTTTTAAGCAGACAAGGAAACAAAGGCAAAGAACAGGGGGATTTTCCCAGGAACACCAGGAGAGCCCCAAGATTAAGCCTCCCCACCCCAGGGTTTCACAGAGCTCCTGGCTTTGCCCAGATACGTTACACCACACCACAGCCGGGTTATCAGGATCCTCCTGCCCAAGAACATTTTCCTAATTGACCCTGGGAAGGTCTTCTTTTCCAGCTCCTACTTCTAGGAAACTTCCCACCAGGGAAGGGACCAGCACAGAGCCTGGGCCAGACAAAGCCCTGGGAAGATGAAGGTGGGAGTGAGCTGGGGAAGGTGGCCAAAGACTGCTGGGCTGCCCCCTCAGCCTCAGTGATCCCCATCCCGGATCCAAGGGCTGTCCAGGATGGGGATTATGTCACCTCTTGGCCTCAGCCCGGGGAGCCAGGAGCAGGCAGGGATAAATCAGAGGTGCTGGGATGTGCCCAGGGGAAGCCTGATCTTGGAAAGCTCAGCGAGGGCTGGGGGGAGAGAGGCTGAGACACTCCCAGCCCTCACATCCACCCCGGCAGCATCCGGAAGCTATTAAGGAATTACAGGCTCCCTGGCCCCGAGCCTTCCCCGGCAGAAGTGCCTGGGAGCAGATGGTGAAAGGGCTGATTGAATTCGGCTGCTCGGGCCAAGAGGCTGTTTAGGAGGAGACGAAATGGGGGAGGGGGTGGAGGGGGTGTCATTTGGCGACTCGGGAGCTGGGAGCCCTTGCCAGGAACTCCAGGAATCCTCCAGCAACCCTAACAAGCTTAGAGGAGCTTCAGCAGGGACTTGGGTGTGTGGTTTGGGGGTGTGAGATGTCCCGTTGCCCTCGGGAGCTCCTGCTGCTCTGGGGGTGAATCCCTCAGGGAGCCAGGGTTCCTCTCCCCAGGAATCTCCATTCCAAAGGCAGCCTGGCTACTGAAGTGGCCCAGGGAGGCAGGATGAGCACAGAGCCCCAGGAGCTGTGTGATCCCAAGCCTTGAGCCCAGCTGAGAAGGAGGAAGCACAGGAGCTGTCAGCTCAGCAGCCCTGCCTTCCTCCCAGAAAAATGCAGGTTTCCAAAGATCCTTGATTGCCAACTGGGTCTAATCCCACCCCATCCCCAGTGCCCGTGGGAAAGCCCAGACATGGGACCAGACCTCCCAAAAAGCCTTCGGAAGGGGATGGGACTCCAGTGACTCTGCATGGGGAGGAGGTGGGGAAAAAAGACCAGGATGAGAGACATGAAGGATGAGAAAGAGCCAACAGGCAGGAAAAACAAAAAGGATAAATATCTTTGAAAGCCATGCAGGGTGCCAGCCCTGCTGAGGGCAATGCCAGTGCCTGCAGGAAACATTGATGGGGGAACCCAAATCACCTGAGGGTGAAGGAAGGGTTTAAACCCTCCCAGGAAAGCAGAGGAAAAAAACCACAAGCCCAAGCTCCGGGCTCCCTGCCCTGGCAAACCAGCCCCAACTCCCCGTGCCCTGTGTCCCAGAGGGAACGGGCACCAACTCCGCCGGCCCTTGTCTCCCAATCCATCCCTGTTTTTCCAAGGGAGCAGGGTCGGGTGGGTCCCCTGGGATCCCAGGCCGAGTGCCCCGGCGGCTCCCCGAGGTTGGGAAATCGGGAGCCTGGGCAGGAGGGGCGGGCACGGAGCGCTCCGGGGCCGTCAGGAGATCTGTTCTGTTCGGAGCAATCTTTTCCGAGACAAGTCATGAGATTATTCCTTGCCTGGAATTTGCTCCCGCAGCTCCCATCGGCCCCGGAGTGCTGAGTCAAGAGACCGCCGGGGCTGTGCCCTCCCGATGAGTAAATAAATTGCCATGGGGGGGGGGGGGGGGGGGGGGGGGGGGGGGCGCCGGGGGGGGGAGGGGGGTGAGAGGAGGGAGGGGACCCGATGACTCCCGGAGCCTTGGGCTGGGGCTGGATCTCGGCTGGGGCTGGATCCCGGCTTGGCAAGGGACGGGCTTAGTCACAGATTAGTGAGGGCAGTCCACACACTGTTAAAGGCACACCACCTTCCCTCCCCTCGCCTTCCCTTCTTTTTATCCCTTCTTTTTATCCCACTTCTTCCTTCCTCTTTTATTTTTTAAATTTCTTTAAGCCTAACTTTGGCTTTCAGTGAGTGTCCAGGACTGGCAGTGGGGAAGCCAAGGAAGGAGCAGCCCTGAAAGGTGCCAGAGGGTGAGAGGGTCCAGTCTGGGGGTCCCAGAGCCCCTTCTGCCCTCCCCTGCTCACCAGGTCACTCTATAGGATCCATATGGCCCCGGCTGCTCCAGGCTGGGCTGTTTGAAGGCAGAGTCATCCAGCTCGGAGGCAAACAGGCCTTTCATGTTCCAGCCTTTGGAGCCAAACTCCAATCTGGAGCTGCTTAAAGGGATGGAAAGCAGCCCCAGTGCGTAACTGGGCCCTGGCTACTGGGCCAGCTCTGAACCCCCACTGCTGGGGGAGCTGGAAACACAAACGTTCCCAGCACGGCGGCTCCGGCATTCCCAGAACCCGGGACAGCCCTCGGACACCCAGCCCAGGGTGCCTGGCAAGCCTTCAAAAGGCTGGGGTTGGGCAACGCCACGGGGTCAGGGCACCACGGCACTGCCCCAACCTGCTGGGCTCCAACCCTGCCCGGGGCTGACGCCAGGGACTGAGGAAACGCAGCCATTCCCCATTTCCAGCTGCAAAGCAGGAGGAATCGCATTCGCTGACCTCATGGAGCAGTTGGGTAACTGTGCCTCGAGCATTTGAAAAGAGAAAGCACTTGGCATCGCATTTTCAAACCGCTTCTAACAATAATGTGTAAAAACAGAAGGGGGAAAAAAAAAACCCAGACCCAAATTTCACGTGTTCCGCTCCATCTTTTTTTAATTTTCCAGTGGAAAAAGCCAGGACTCCTCAGCTTTTGCAAGTTGTTTCTTCAGAAGGTTCAGGTTTCGGTAAACAGTTTCTCAAAACTAAAAGGTAAGAGAAAAAAAAATCCCCTTTGCTGCTTCCAGAGCACTGCCCAGAATTCAGTGGGTTTGCACAAACACACGCGGGCACCTCGGAAAAAACTTGTATGTGGGTCAAAAAGCCACAGTTTGATTATTGTCATGAATGGTGCTGACAAGGGGGGGGAAACAACAGAAAACAACCCCCAGAGCACTGCCCAGTGTCCAGCTCCAGTGGCAGCTTTCCCTTAGTCAGCAGTTTTATCCAGAGGGCATCCCAGGAGAGGCAGCATTCCGGTGGAAATCCCAGCCATGGAGAGGACACACCACCCTCACCCTGTTCTGTGAGACACTCGGCTGCTGGAGGATGTGGGGCTGAGCCACTCACCTCCCCAGGCCAGCTCTCACTCCAAAGCACTCACCCACTACTCAAACTGGGAATTCCAAGGGGTGGGTGAGTCCAGGCCTGCCTGGTGCTCTGGAGGAGCCAGGGAAAGGCAGCACAGGCACACAGGGAAGGGCTGAACACAGCCCTCGTGAGAACCCAAATACTGCAAGTAGAGGGAGACCTGGAGCACACTGGGGATGCTCCCAGCATAATGGGAACACCCTGCCTCAGCTTCCCCTAAAACCAGGTCTTATCAAGCCTTTCCTCAACCTCTTTTGGGGTCAGAAGCCCTACAGCTTTCAATAAAAGCTGTATCAAAAAAAGAAAGCCCAGTCCCACTGGCTGGCTGCTCCTGAGCTCCCCACCAGCCATCTGAAGAATGCCTTGGAATCACGTCAAATATTTGGGATGGGATAGGGGGAGAGGGGGCACTGAGGGGGGAGCCACTCAGCTTTTGACTCAGTGTCTGGCTTCTTTCATCAGCCCCACATTCCTGCTCCTGCCATCACCCTCCGGGGAAGTGCCACAACCTACACAATCCATGTGGAGCCAATTTAAAATCCCCTCCGTGTAAGAAAGTGCATTTTGTTCATTAACGGGCTCCGAGTGCTCAGCTGGGCTGAGGAGGCAGCTCTGCAGCCATCCCAGAAATGTGGGATCCAGCAGGAATCATCCTCCAGAGGATCATCCTCCACAGGCACGTCCCAGAGCAGAGCAGTGCCCCCTGCAAGCCCCCCCAGCACACGGGAGAACCTCAACAACCAGCACCAGACACCTGAGCTGGAGGTCTCTGCCTCTGCTGGCTTTGGGGGAAAGGTTTAAACAGGAGCAAAAAGCTGGAAAGCAGGGGATTGCTGGAGCAGGGATTGCTGTTGTGCCCAACACCAACTGGGAGATGGTGGGGACAGGAACTGCAGCCCCACAGCCCGACCAGCTCAGGGCCAGACAGAGCCCTTTGACTTTGCACATCCCAATCCACAACTGGGGCTGGGATTTCAATTGTCATTCCCAAGCCAGAGGGAGCCACAGAAAGGAGGGGATTTTCCTCTCTGGGAAAGCCAGCTGCTATTTCTTGGTGGATTTGTAATACTTTTCTGGCAGGTTATATTTATCCACGGGCTGTGTGGCTACAGGAACCAGATGTGGGACTGAAGGGCTGTGCTGCACCAGCGTCACAAACATCCTGCAAACATCAGCTCCACCTGCCCCGTGCACAGAGCTGGACATGGGATGGAGGGAGCCAGGCACTGACAGCCAAAAAATTGTGCATGGGTGCATGGTCAGCAAAAACAGGGGAGATGACAGGAGACAATGGATGACCTGCCTGGTCCTGATACTGTCCTGATGACTTGAGGCTGTTCACAGGATGGAAGAGCAAACCAGGGCTCAGATTTTTGCCAGCTGAGTGGAAAAAAAAACCAAAACAACATAAAACTGTGCAGTTTAATGTCACAGCTCAGAAAGAGAACGCTGGGTTTGCCCCATCCAGGGCTGAGCGAGTTCATCTGTGCCCCCAGCACAGCAGAGAAGGAACAAACTCCTTGGAGCAGGGCTGAACACCGAGGGCTCTGCCTTCCCTCAGCTCTCCCAGCCTTGTAGGAGCTCAGGCCCTGCAAGCCAACATTTGCAGCCTGTGACTGGCACAGGCTCAGCTCTGGGGGTGTTTGCAACCCAGGCTGAGCCTTTCAACCAAAGCAAAACTGAAACCACCCTGGGAGTGTTCCAGGCCAGGCTGGATGGGGCCCTGAGCACCCAGGAGTAGTGGAAGGTGTTCCTGCTCACTGAATAAGATGAGCTTTAAGGTCCCTCCCAGCCCAACCCACTCTGGGATTCTGTGATTTAATTATTTCTTTCCCATCTCTCCTGACCTGGCATCAAACTCTGCATCCACCCCAGCCTGTGTCCCTCCCCTGTTCCAGGGGGTGTTCAGGCACATAAAGTGACCTGCAGATTTCCACATGTTCCCATAATTACCACCTGAGCCTGCAGGGACACAGCCTCAAACCTGGGAAAGCTGGGATGGAGAATGGGAGCAGATCTCCAGGCTGGATGTGCAGGACCAATCCCAGCTTTCCAAGGGCCACCTTTGCATCAGAAAGCCATTATCTCTGGAACCATCTCCCAGTTTTGCCAAGGGCAGGACTCGAGTGCTCCCCCCTCAAATTCCACTGCACCTGGGAAAAATGTAGGAGCTCGTAGAAGAATCAATAAATATTTATTGTTTAACCAGCAGTATTTTGACTGGAGATGTAAGCATGGCCCCGTGCCAGGGAAACCAGAGCCTTCTTGGCCAGCACTGCAAACAAATTTTTTTCTGTATCTAGTTGGAAGATTATAAACTACACAATGAGGGGGGGGAAGAAACAGAGGCAGCGAGCAGCTTAGTCACGGAAGAGGAACAAAAGAGCTGAGATGGATAACTATGTCTTGGGTTTATAAAAAGAGGGGATGCAGCCCAAGTTTTGGCTGCCAGACAGATGTGCAGCTTGTAGCAGCTATGGATTTGTCCCACTGGCCTCTGCAGGGCTCAGGCTTCACACTGGATCAGGGCACAAAACCCTGGAATCAGGGGACAGACGTGGATTTGGACAAGCTGGAGACTGGCCTATAACTCAGAAGCAACCTCAGGAGTCAGGGCTTGACCTATGGACACCCAATCTTCCCCCCTAAGGAAGGTCCCAGTTTCCAGGGGATCCCCAGCACACAGTGGGATGAGCAGCCAGGCCCTGGCTCCAGGGGCATTTGGGGGCTCAATAGGGCAGAGCAGCCCCTCCTCCCTCACCCAGCTGGGCCCTGGTACCATCCTACCCTGCACACCAAGCATGTGGGAGCCTGGAGGATGCCAGAAGCTCCATGCTTTGGGTCAGGGTCAGCAATGACACTTGCTCTCCTAAATCATGGAATTTCCTCATCTTGTGCCCGTGCAAGGAACAGCTGAGAGTGCAAAAAGGAAAAGTGCCTTTCTTGCCCAAAATCCCGGCTGATCCCGGTGCCACAACTGGCAGCAGCTATTTGGGGAGACAGATCTGCAAGTTCACACCCCTGAGGTGTGTTCAGACAAAGTCTGGTCTCACTCACACCCACCTCTCCCCCAAGTGCCTGAGATGTTCCTGCTCTCACCGAAACAGCAACTGGAGAAGAACAACCCACCTTCATTTCACCTCCAGCACCACACCCGGGGTCCAACCACAGCACCCTGACCCTGACCCAGCTCCCCCCAGCCCATCCCACAGCAGGATCCATTCCAGAGGGTGCAGTCACTGCTCTTTGACAGCACCATACCCCAAACCTGAATCCCAGAGAAGCTGTGGCTGCCCCATCCCTGGAAGTGTCCAAGGCCAGGTTGGACAGGGCTTGGAGCACCCTGGGACAGTCGAAGGTGTCCCTGCCCATGGCAGGGGTGGGACTGGATGGGTTTTAATGTTCCTTCCAACCCAAACCATTGTGGGATTGTGGGATAATCCCCACAAAACTCAGCATGTCAAAGTCCTGCTGGAGTCCCTGCCAGCAATTTCCTATGGATCTGGGAGAGTGGGATGGCACATGATGCTCCTCGGCTCTCTCTGGAGAGCTGGAGTGCAGCATTCCAGCGCGTGTTATCCCTTCATTTCACGAGGCCTATCAAAGCCTGGCACGCTGTAATTACATGGCAAATTAGGGGCCACTCCATGTAACAACACTGTAATTACACACTTGGGACGTGCTTTGGGGAGTTTATGATGGAAAAGTGGATGGAATGGGGCTTTGCTCCTATTTCCCGGGAGTCTCACTCCCTGGACCCAGGTTAAAATCCAGGGATGCCCTTCAGTGGGTGCATCCCCGAAGGACAGGGCCATGGAACTGCCCCCTTTCCACCTCTTTTCATACCTTTGGTATGAAGTTGGCACAAAAAAGCTGGAGCTTGTGGCAGCCAGGTGCAGACAGTCCCCCCTCATTCCCCCATCCTGGCTGGATACCACAGTAATGGGCATTTTGTGAGCGCATAGAAAGGTAATCGCTCCTTTCCAGTCCAATTCTCACCTCCTCCGCAGGCAATCAGCATCCAAACTGCAAGCGGAGCCCCGAGAGGAGCCAAAAGCCCTCGGTTTATTAGAGTCTGATGATTTCAACCCACACGGAGCATCCCCGCCTAGCTCTCACCTCGGCTGGTAAAAGCGCATTCCCGGAAGATGCCGGGTGCAATTCCCTGCATCCCTGAAACCACCTCTCAGTGCTTGTTTCCCCTCCCCAGGCTCTGGAATTCTGTGTGTGCAGCAGGTGAGGGCAGGTAAAGGCTCTCCCAGGGGAGGGACAGGGGACATTCCAAAGCAGAGGGAGATGCTGGTGCTCTCCTGTTGTGTTTTATCCCACATGGAAAGAAAACCTGAGCATGCAAGAGCCACCTCTTAACAGCAGCAGGGAAACTGAGACACGAGCGCTGTGCCAGGATAACTCAGGATCAAACCTTCCTTTTGGATGAGAAGAACATTCCAAGTCCCTGGGCACTTTCATCCCAACCGGCACAGCAAACTGCCCCCCCTGGAACGGGCTGATCCAGCTGGGACCCTGTTCCATGCACATCTATAAACACCTGGAAGCCAGGAATAGCTGGAAACTTGCCCTGCCCAGACAAGGCAGAGGGAAGGATGAAGGATCCCATCCTAAAACCATAAAGGCACACTCAGACTGTGCCATCTCCTCGCAGTGGAGGAGGGTTTGCATTTGCCAGACGGGCTTTAAATGCAAACTCCCTCATTTGCCTGCAATGAAAGTGAAAGCAAAGGACGAGAGCAAAGCCCGACCTGGCTGTGGGAAGGGGATGCAGGTCCTACATCCAAGAATACACTGCATGTGCATGTACTCCTGCACTGTGCAGGAGCTTCCCTGTGCCCTGCACCACCTCAGCGGGAGAATCAGGGAATGGTTTGGGTTGGAAGGGAAAATCTTGCTTCAGCCCTAATCAACGTTGTCCCAAACTCTAAACAGAGGGAAAGGCTCTTGCCAGATAAAAATACACCCCTGGGATGCCACCCACGCACGGGTTGATGGAAACAACGTGTCCCTGTCCCAGCTGGCCTCGGGGTACAGATGGGAAGAGCTGAAAAGGGATTTCTACACTGCATGTGCTCAGAGCAAATCCTTCCTTCATTCCAGGCAGGAACAAATCCACCACTGCACCCATAACACACCTCCAGGGAAAGGAAGGGAGAGGGGGCGGATGCAGGATGGGGAGCTCAGCAATCCTGCCTCACCTGGGATGTCCAGCACCACAACCTGGAGTTACAGCCCTTCTCCAGGACCTCGTGGGACACTCTGGGGCAGCAATTCAGCAGCTTTCTCAGCAAGAAATGAGTGTTTGAGAGTCCCAGTGACTCCCCACAGTTCCCAGGGAGGGCTGGGGAGCTGTTCTCCACTCTGACCACAGCCAGCACACAGAGCTGGGCACAGCTGGAGGAAACAAAGTGATTTGTGGAGGGCAGCACTCCCCAGCCCCGAGGTGAAGTTCCCCTTGGGGCTGAATTTTGCATGGTTTGGGTTTTTACTGCCTCAAAAAACCCTGCTGGTGGATCAGCCATATATCTGCAACCAATAGTGATGCTTCCAGCCACTCCATCAGATCCTTATAAAAACATCCATGCACATACAATTAAAATATTTGATATTAAAAGAGAAGCCCACACCATGGGGTTTTGGCTCCTGACCTGCTCATCTCACTCCCAAATTCTTGCTGGTAAGAGCGGCAGGGGCGGGTGGGGGTGGATTTGGAAGCTTTGTACAGCTCCACATCCCTTTCAGGTTATTTTTAAACCCTTTGGACACACTACAAATCCCAGGGAACTTTTGCAGGCAGAGGCTGCCTGCACGTGTGGGCTGGAGCAGGGCTTGGTTTCAGGGGGGTGGGAGGGGGATGGACTGTGCAGAGATGCAGTTTTATGGGGCATCAAGCACCTGGCACATTAAACATCCTGCCCAATTGAAAACCTGTGGCTGCAAGGACTCTTAACCTAAGGTTAACCCTGTGGGTACCGTGAGGCACAGCTGCTTTGCCTGAAGGAACAAGGGGGGCTGGACCCCTTCTCAGCGAGGCCAAAGCCCAATTTAGAATTAAGAACTATTTGGTGGCAGATTTGGGGCTGGACAAGCCACCAGAGAGCAGATAAGTCCTCCAGGAGCAGAGAAAAGTAACGTCCCCTAAACAGGGCACTGCTGGAGCACAAGCCAGCAGCATCCACACTCCTTCCCTCAAACCCATCCCACCAAACCAGAAAGCTTCAGCATTCTCTAAAAAGTTGGAGGGGAAATGAGGTTAAGCCAGCTAATTGACAGCACTGACCTTTCTGGCTCGCAGGGAGTGCAGCCACCAGAACAGGAGCAGCTGCAGCTCAAGGCGATGGGGACTCAGCTCTTTTTTACCTTTTGGGTTTGTGTTTTTCAGAGC